TAATAACCTTTCGGGATTTCGTTCACGGGATTTAGGCCTGTCGGGATTTTGTATGTCGGGATTCTGTACTAAACCCCTTGATTTGCCATCTTCGACCTGTGCTAGGTCGATTTTTTTAAAATATTAGGATAATATTTTTAATTTCAACCAGTGCATAAACTTTAGATTTTTAGTATCAGTGAAAAAAAGGTCACAGCATAACCACTATTGAGAGCGTAGCCACACAATTATTTTCAAACTTTATTTTTCATGCTTTATCAATTCTTTATTATTATTATTATTATTTATTTTTGAATTTTAAGTATTTTTTAGAAGGGAAAACTTTCTTAATGGTTTTCTAAGAGACAAAATCACTATTAATATACTAGAGCAAAAGTTAAACATATTCTAAAGATAAACTTCAATACCAAATAATAATCACAAACAAATTTAAAATGAACAGTAAAACTTGAATTAAATTGTACAAATAAATTGGATCATCGAATATGCAAATTCTACCTTTTCCAAAATATTATAATTCACAGTTCGTTACGTCCAGGGTTCATTATAAAAAAGTTCGTTATAGTAAGTCTCTGCTGTAATTGGATTTATAAAAAATCTGCATTCATTAACAAAAATAACAAATAAAATAATTCGAACGAAGCTATAAAGGACTGTAAAGTTCTAAATTATACTTACGAGTTAAAAAATGGAAAGAACCAATCTGTCCAAATAACTCTTGATACGTATAATGAAGAATTTTGAATTACAGAATTATTAAGTATATCTTGTATTCTCTTGATATAAGTTGTAGTAAAGGTTCTTTTTCCTAGCCTGAGAACTCAATATAACACGAGTAAGTTGCATTCGTTTTTTTATCAATTTTCTTGAATTCCTACATATGAGGTCTCCTTTATTTTTTTGTCAAAATATGAATTACAAACGAATTGAAAAAAAAAATCGTATACAATTAACTTTTTTACAATAAACTTACAGTTCTTATAGTAATAATTCTTAAAAGTTATAATTTACTATGTTCCTATATCGTACTTCACCAAATTTTTTTATGAAGAGAGTTGACCGTTTACAATGGTGCATCAAAAAAGAATGAGATCAGGAAGTCAGCTTATTATGTGACTGCGTTATCGATTAGTGGATACGCTGAATTTGCTGGCAGCAGCACCTCTTGACAAATTCCCAATTTGGCAAACATTATATAAAGCAATTCTACAAATTTTCATCATGAAAATATGCACCATGCAATAATTTTTAATCTTAGAATGTAAACATAAAAGATAGTGTTTATTTGTGGTACTGTAAGACGCAACATTATCGAGAAATAAATATGGTGAAATTATATATATGATTTTTTAAAACTTAGTATTAAGTCATTTCTCTCTAATCCTTAACTACTTGAAACACTTCATAATCTGAGATTTCAAATGAATCTGAGGTCGTAAATGAATTTTGGATCACAATGTTAGGGTAGGAGTGTACATTAAATTTCCAAACATTACCGTTACTTGGAACGTATAAATCGTGACTAACTTCCAAAGTTTGACTACTTCCAGTACCTCCGGGAGTTTGAAAACCGTAACATCCAAAAGTTGCACCACCTCCAAAAGTTGCACCACCTCCAAAAGTTGCACGACCTCCAAAAGTTGCACCACCTCCAAAAGTTGCACGACCTCCAAAAGTTGGACCACCTCCGAAAGCTGGACCACCTCCGAATGTTGGACCACCTCCAAAAGCTGGACTATCTCCGAAAGTTGGACCACCTTTGAAGATTTTGCCACCTCCGAAAGTTGGACCGCCTCCTAAGGTTGGACCACCAAAGGTTGTACCATCTCCAAAAATTCTACCACCACCAAAAGTTGAATTGCCTCCTCCAAATGTTGCACCACCTCCAAAAGGTGAATTGCCTCCAAATGTTGCACCACCTCCAAAAGGTGAATTGCCTCCAAATGTTGCACCACCTCCAAAAGTTGGACCGCAGTTATTATGGCAATAAACTGCATAATTACTATTAGTAACGTAACCAAATCTTGTATTTATAGGATCATTAAGATCATTTAATGAAATTGAAAATATGAAACTATCTGCCGTATTTATATAACCATTTCCATTCCAGTCAAGTGGATTATAACCACCAATCAGTATATTTGAATTTGAAATTTTCGCTACAACAATTGTTGCACCTTTATTATTACATTTATAATGAAACATTTGGGATGAAAAGCCATCTACGCTGCTTTGAAAAAGAAGATTAAAATTATATCGAATTTCCTTTGAACTCCCATTATCCATAGTTTTTTTATTTATCCATTTTGTAAATAATAGTGCAATTCTTTTATTAATTATAGCTGAGTAGATTTTAATGTTGATGTTGCCCTCTCTAATTGGAAATGTGTGGTAGTGCGATATGGCACCTGGAACTAAATAGCAACGTAATATATCCTCGATTAAGTTATCAGGTATGAGATGCCTGAATGGCCATACATCTCGCATAAACTCTTCTGAATTTATTTGATGAAATCTAACAAGTTTAATTAATTCACTTATAGTCTTTTCTAATTTATTAAAGTCGTTAGATGTAAATTTTGCCACGTTACTTTGAAACGTCGAATGTTGTGTGATTCCCCATTTAATAAGCAATTTCCAGATATCAATTTCTTTCACATCAAGGTCATCACGGTTAAGAATTAATACTAGTATTTCTTTTTCTAATGAAAAGAATTCTTCTGAATTAAATAATAATTCAAGATTTTCACAAATAGTCTCTAAAGAATCTTTTCTAAGTTCTTTAAATGTGTCATGATTGATAATAAAATGAAGTATTTTAATAGGATTTTGCCGTAAAAAGTCTTTGTAATTTCTATTAAAGATTTCTAAATAAATATTTTTAAGTTTATCGAATGCATTATGACAAGTAACAAGATCAAGCATTTTAATAGGGTCTGATTGTAAGAAATTATAACAATTTTGAATTAAAAATTCTTGGACAGAATTAATAAGTCGTTGAATTCCAAGTTCATCTGCTGCGATTAGAAGTTCTAAGATTATTTCACTTTTTTGGCTTTGAAAGTCCATTATTCCGCAATAAAGATATCTTAACAATGTTAATATTAAATTAGAATCATTATAATCAAGAAAGATTATTAGAATAAATTTATAATTCATTACTTACTTAAGGATAACTTCGAAGACTAATGCACTAATATTAGGCTTTTTAAAAATTAAAAGACCGTTATTATTTCTTTCAGCCCAATTAGAAGAAAATGCACTATGAAAATAAGATGACCTAGTACGGAGAATTAAAGAATGAACTTTAAATTCTTTAACATTTGGTTCTTTTCCAACGATGATAATCGCATCATAATCTTCCTTAGTTTCATATAGTTTGTTAAAATCGTCAGCCAGTTCATTAATATACATTGTGGACATCCTTTGGTTCAGGTCCCATAATCCTCTAGTTGCCATCTGAGGTGATTTGTTTTTCTCAGTGAAGACAAATTTGCAAATATTAGGGCTATTTATACAATCAACTAAAACTTTACCTAGAAATAGCACAATATCTGCCTAATATCACACTATGTACTCAAAGAAGAATTACATCCCAAAGTAAAAATTTTCTTGTCTTAAATGGACAACTATATTATAGAGGAGTAAATAATAATAAATTATTAAGAGTTATACAAACCCATGAGATTGAATCCTTTTTATACTTCCTGCACCACCATCTTACCAGAGCTCATCTAGGAATAGAAAATATGATAAAAAAAATTAAAGCACAGTATTATTGGCCTCAAAGATATAACCACGTGAAAAACTTTATATGAACCAGTGATGCCTGTCAAAAGAGAGGAAAGTATCATGTATCAGCACCCTTATAGCTGATACCTGTAGAAACACCTTTTACTGAATTGGTGTAGACTATGTAGCACCGCTTCTGACTACAATTAGAGGAAACAAATATATCATTGTAGCTACAGATTATCAAGAAAATGACCTGTTACTGCTGTATGACATAACAGTTAGTAAGAGTTTTTCTAGAAAATTGTTACCAAAATAGAAGGGACCCTATTGTATACACTCTAGAGTTATACAAGATGTGTATAAGCTCAAAACCTGTGATGGATAAATCTTGAATACACCTATCAATATATTGTTACAGAAGCAGTATTATGATAGAAACAATAATTCCTCTTAAATTTATACTTATTCATAGAACTTGTAAATAAGAAGTAAGGAGTGTTATACCTAAACTAACTCCCAAAGTTCTGAAATGAAATGGACATGTATGTCCAAAAGATCATGTGGTCTTTATGATCTTGGTTAAATGCAGTGACTGTTGAACCTTTACTCAAACCTTTGACTGTGCGACCTATTTTGTTTTTATCTTTGTACCCATATTCTTACCAAATTTATTATTATTATACATAGCATACTTATTATCACATAAGGATATCCATACACACATAGAGGTTGATGCATGATGGAAAGTCGTTCGAC